GAGAACATTAGTGAGTACTACTCAATTCATTGGTTGCCTATCAGTTAAGCCTTTAATGATTCGTAATTTTCAAGATCAAGAGCAACCGACTGACACTTTTAATCGTAGGCGTATGCGTTGGCATGTGGTGCACGCACTGGCGTGCGTAGCCCAACTGGTTTTTAATATTTGAGGAAATTATCGAAATATCCACCGGTCGCTTTCTTATAGGCCTCAAACGAGGCATTACGAATTTGTATATTAGGCGCGAGGTCAAGTTGGAATGAAAAGGGAATGAACCAAGTTACTTCAACAAACAAGAATTGAGCAGAGCTCCGTCCTTGGAGGATGGGGCACGAACAAAGTGTGTAGATATGTGTATGTGTTTGTGTGTATGTGTGTGAATGGGTTTGCTTGGAAAACGAGGACTCTTGTTTCCCTAGGCCAAAGCACCCAAATTTGAAAATAGTGCAGGCGGCAGGCCAGTTTTGAATTCGACTGGTATATATTTTAGATTGTCGGAAAGTCTTTGCATATTTTCCAGTTTTTAATAACAAGTAACAATCAGAAAATGTATGTATGCATCATCATTATCGACATTGTGTTGTCATCAATCAGGCAACTCATGGATCGCGCTTGCATAGAACTTTTTGAGGTTTGAGGAGAAAATTTCGCTAATGCGCGTCCCAGTTGGTTCACATCATCTAACTTCTTATCTTTCAAATGGTTCGATGGCAACAGAGAAAGGTGTTGTTGGAACTAGATATTGTGGATCTGGTGGAATACTTCTGATGGGTCAGAATATACCTTTTTGAGCCTTGAAGGTTCTGCTGGGCCTTCTTTGCATTGTGTCGGCAAGCTGTCGTTGAGAAAGTACTTCTGCTATTTTTATCGTAGAACAGCGCCATCCAACTGAGCACAGTAGACATACAGTGAACGATTCTTTTCGAATTCCACAAGATGCTGAGCATTGCCTTCTCAGGTTAGAGTTTTGGTCTACAGAATGGGCCAAAATTATGATTACACAGAAATCACATCGCAGAAAACGAATAGAAAGCCAATTGAGCAAACCAATTTCATTAAAGGGTTCAGCACAAATTTCTTATCAAAACTGTACATTGAGACTGGGATCTGTTGCTTTCTGCTTTCACCCAACCCCAAAGACGGCGATGGACGGCATTGACGGTGGCACGCAGCTAGGGTCATCGAAATGGTCCCGGCTTTTTGCTAAGAATTTTCGAGATTATTTCTTCTCTTGTTTGAGCTAAAGGATGCTTTCATCTCAGAGGCTGACCACATTGAGACATTCATGGGATTTAGGTCANGGCTCCAGAGTGGTCACTGATCGAAGGTTATGAAGTCAAAGAACCCCTTTCACGAAATTTCTAGACAATTTCTGTTCTGCGGTCAGGAGCTTCATCGTGACAATATAACCGGTTCGAATCATCAAGGTGTCCTATTGCGCACGAAGAGGACAAACAGGCCTCCAAACCAACTTCCACTCCATAATTTACAAAAATAATCGGTGTCTTTGCCCCGGCGGTGATGCTGGTACAAGCTATCACAGAAAGTTAGTGAGCCAGGCGCTGCATCACTTTCATTTCTTTAAGCTTCAAATAAATGTTATCGCTCTACTTATTGAGCACCTATTTCACTGTGTATCTTTTCTCGTCGGTGAACAGGAATTCCGCAGGACAATTTTTTCGGATGCGACAGGCAGCTTTTGATAGCCAACCTTTCTCTTCTCTTTAACCTGCTCTCTGAGGAAATCACTTTCTGATCGTATAACGGTCTCGTTGTGCAGGGGATGCTTCACGATTTCACGCAGAAAATTCCTTGACATATCCATTCATTTATCCTTTTTAGACTCAGAATGAATTTTGCTCCTACGTAGACCTTTGCCCTGCTTCCTTAACACTTTCCCTGAATATAACCACAGCTCTCCTAGGTTCACCACTCCTATCTGCAATTGTTCCCAACTCTCGAGAGCGTCTTATGGTTGAATTGCAATACCTGCCTTGTTTCGCTAGTTCGTCTGTAGGTGCACCGTGCCAAAAGTGTTTGTAAATGCAAAGCGACGCTTAATTCACGGACTAGTTACACTTATATTATGTTAAAAATCTACCCAAAGTTTAGTATCATCAGGAAGGTAATAACGTAAGCTACTTTGTGAAATAGAAGAAATTCAATGAATTGTTATGAACATAGAAAAAATTTGCAATGAACGTCAGCGCGCGCTGTAATCATAATTTTGGCCCACCCTGTAGATTCCATTATCTCCGAGTCCAAGCCACAGACGCTTTCCTGTGCGGTTTTAGTCGAGAACCCATTTTCGTCGCCGATGGGTTATCTGAACGCCGTATCTGTCTTCTCGAGACGATGCAAATGGGCAGCCACTGTGTTGTAATGACTATCAAGCTCCTGAACCCAGGGGTACTGCGTCTAAAATTTTCTGCAACAAGCCTCAGAGAAGGTCGCTACTCAGCGCAATTAGTCTTCCATGTCGTGGTTCTTCGATCGAGTCAAATTTACCTTTTCGAACTTGTGCCATCAATGACTTGCCGTGCTGAGGAGACAGTTTAGAAACCCATCACACCATATACTTATATTCCTTGTGACCGATTTGGATCGGACATTTCTTGTGAATAGGACGCAGCGTTTGGCGCTTGCTCTCACCCTGACAACGGGTATTTTCAAAATCTTTCGGGACTTTTAGAAAGCTTGGGATTTGTACAAAAATCCATATAAGACATATAATTGACCGTTCGTCCGAATAAACACCATGAAAGTTTCTGCGCATCGACCCACTATCGAGAAGCTGCTCAGAGAAGGTTTCTGGAGCTGCGACATTGTGAAACGACCTGGTGTTCCCTCTCCAACCGTACGAAATTTTGCCGCTGCTCTCAGGAATGGAGGACAAGCCTCTGAAATGCCAGGAAGGGGACGACCGAGAACAGTGAACACACCGAGGATTCGTGACGTCATAAGGAAGAGGATCACCCGCAAGGATGGAGTCAGCATGAATTGGATTGCTTCTGATCTCAACATCATCCGTCAAACCGTCCAGAAAATTGGGAAACAAGACCTCAAGCTGAACAGTTATCGGCTCCGTCTAGGACAGTTTCTTTCAGAGCAGTCCAAGCAAAGTCGACTGATGAAATGCAAAAAAGTTCTTCGAGAGCTTAGGGCGCGCCGCATCTCTGATGTGATCTGGACCGATGAGAAAATTTACACCGTTGAACACTATCCAAACCGACAAAACCAGAGACAGTTGTTGTCAAAACCTGGCAACAGGTCCCCAAAATGTTGCCTTGTGCACAGCAGGCTATCCTTCAAAATTGTTATGGTTTGGGCCGGGGTGACATCAGAAAGCAAAACACCTTTGGTCTTCATCGACAGAAATGTGAAAATCAAGTCCGAGGACCACCAAAAGCTAGTTTTAATGGACACTCTGCTATCCTGGATCACTGAATACTTTCGTAACAGATCGTTCGTCCTTCAGCAAGATTTGGTCCCTTCTCATGCCTCGAAGTCGACAAAAGCCGTACTGGACGCGCACTTCCCCGGTTACTGGGGTGAAGACATCTGGCTTTCCTCTCCGCCAAATCTCCATTCGATGAACTTCTCTGTATGGGGGTACATGGAGAGCAAAATTGCAGTACGCTCCTACCGCACGTTGGACGCTCTGAAGTTGGCGCTTCAGAAGGCGTGGGACGATATCGACGTCGGCTACCTGCGGCGTACGGTCGATTTAGTCATCGAGAATTTGAAAGCCTGTGTAAGAGTAAAAGGATCGTACTTCGAACACCTGTTGTCCTAAGTGAACTTGTAGTTCTACGGTATTCCTCAATAAAGTTGATTTGTCTCTCTGGTCTCTATCTTTGAAGTTACGCTTACAAATGTGGCGTCCTATACTTTTCAGCCACCCTGTATACCAGTCGGGCCGCCCGGGAACGCCGGACTTCCCTCCTTATGGTGTCGCCCGGCTTCGCCGTTGCTATGCGTAAATAACTCTTCGGATTCTCTTTTCTCCTTGAAGCTGTATACCCTCAGTATTAGCTCCGATTGGGAGCGATTTTTCCGTAAGCCATCTTCGCTGTGTCCGGTAATAACATCGTATAATATCACAAAGGCGATTATTCAGAGAAAAAAAGACAGATGGGCTAAGGGAGCGTACCTCCGTGAAATTTCCGTGCAATTGGAATACTGCGAACGCCCATGGCCAAATTGTCAATTTTCGCGCAAACCCCGCCCCTGCGGGCGAGGTCCTTTCCTGCCACCTACACTAAAAGTTCTCATCCTGTCGCATGTACTCCTACCAGTTTGGAACGCTCCAGGGCCAAATTGACAATATTCGCGCAATCCCCGCCCCTATGGGCGGGGTCTGGTCCTGCCACCTACCATAAGTGTCCTGATCCTGCCACCCGTACTCCTACTGAGTTTGAGTGTTCTGGGATCACGGGGACATGAGTCCTGAATTTACGCTCGAACATTTATTTCTCACAAACCCCGCCCCCTTTGTGCGGGGTCCGATCCTGCCTCCCACTAAAAGTGTTCCCATCCTGCCGCCTATACTTCCACCAAATTTGAACGCTTTCCATCCACGGGGACAGGAGTTATGAATTTCCGGTCAGGCCCACACACATACACACACAAACACACCGACGTAGCCGATTGTCTAAGTAGGATATAGTAGTGATCAAAAGTCGTTCGGTGAAATGGTTCTTCAGCCGTACCTTTCAGTCGTAACTCCTTTCCTACTGGATCTAATCATGCGAATTCTATATTTTGAGCGGCAAAATTTCTATATTTTGAGCGTGGGTGTATTGTGAATATTTACCTTTTAACTTGCAATCTGATCGAGCGGTAATGCCGAACACAATAGATGAGAAAAACTCACATATGGTGCGAATAAGTGCAGATGTCAACATCTTTAGTTTTAGCAAAATCTGTTACAGCAACCAACACCTTGCTCTATCTATGGATATTGCAGCTTCGCAGTCAAATAGTGTTGGGTAGGGTGAAATATGCTCAAGTTAAACATATCCAATTTCGCGCGATTTGGTCAACTAAGAAAAAAGTTGTGAACGGAAAAGCGTCGAAGCATTTCATCGAAGACTTTTGGCCGCCACTGTATACCAACAAAAAGTTTTTCTTCAAGTTTCACACACAGCTAGGTTTTCTGGTGCCGCACGAATTTGTTGGTTATCTTAAATCTTACTAACAACGAATTTCTTTTTCTTTTTGTAGATTACATATACCATCATTTCATTTTGTCATTTGTACATACCCAATTTTTATATCATCCTCTTTGCGATACTCTACGTACTCCAATTCAGGTTGCACTGGAGTCTTCGTAACTATTCCGATTGAGTATGAGGACCACGTTAATTTCTATTCGAAGATAGGCTTTTCGGAGCTTGGAAAATCAATGGACGGTGGATTCACGATATTTGGTCACAGGCTCACGATTGATGAAGAATTTCGGGAATAAGTCAAATTCTCGAGAAGTGTTCACTTTCATCAGTACCTGGGAACTTGAATGGCGCGTCGTATCTCAGTTTCAACCTGCACCTGCCCATAATTGCTGAATGTATTTCAGTTGTGAAGTTCAATACACCATCCTCGATTAACCCAGCTAATTTTTCCCTACCATGAGCGGGATGAACAAGTATTTCACCCTGCTATGCAACTTGGTAACTTTCACGGAGGGGGTGAGCTAGGAATCTGCTCCTCGCGCCAACAAGCAAGACAAAATTAGATATGAAGTTCAGCAGGAAACGGTACGCTAGCACGCCAAAACATGAGATCATGAGATTTATGTCGCATTAATGAGCGGGAAGAGTCGTCGTTTTAACGCTTCTTACACTTACCGTATAACAGTGGCGGTAATCAACTAGTCAAGATACCAACGATTTTTGATGATCACAGAGTATTTTTCGACTTTTTTATAAGGATGTATTCATTACCCCATTCTTATTTCTGAATATCAGCACCCCACCCATGAAAGCTTACAGTACAGTACAGTCCTTGTGCGAAGATTCTTCTCTATCATAGACTTTACAGCTGAGTTTATTCTAAGACAAACTGTTCAAGAAACGTGTTTAATAACGACGGTATTAAGAATTCTTCCGCTGAATTAGGAATATTACCTTGATCGCAGTGCATTGTGTAGACTGACTATTTCTTGTGTATATATTTTCTTGTTATCTCTCAGGAGACTTAAGTTCTATCTTTCTCACCCTACGTATTCCTTGTGCCTAATTTGTAATCATGTAATGTATCCAAGATAAACAATTGTAAGAATGGCGAGAAAGTGCCCTATATTTGATGTATTTGTGAATTTTATAAAAAGATGTTCTATCCATACTGGAAGCACTACTATTCAAGGCAGTATCCTGAATTACCGTGGAGCTTTTCTAGTGAGATTGAGGTAAAATCGGTGAGGTTTCGCCACAAAGTTATTGCCATTACCATAAATTTTCCTCCCCGCAAATGAGGGCGAAAGCTTGGAGGACGAAGAACATGGAAGTCGACTTCAATTCGTCGATAACCAAGTGTTGAAGACCGTCAATAATTAGAATCCACGCCAAACCACCCGAGAACTGGTAACACATGTTGGCTGCTCAAACTCTACCATCCATGAGCATTTGCTGGCAATTGGCAAGACGAACAGGTGTAGAAAATGGGTACCGCACCAGCTGAGCGACGCAAACCAGGCAACACAAGTGGCGATGGCCGAAATTCTTCTTCGTCGCTCCAAGAACAGCGCTTTTTTCAACTCTGTTATTACATCATACGGGAAATGGATCTGCTTCGACAACACAACACGAAAAAAGCAGTGGTTAGACGCCGGTGACACTTCAAAACCCACTCCGAAACCGGATATACACGGCAGAAAGGTAATGCTCTGTGTTTGGTGGAACAGCAAAGGTTGAGAGTAGTTTGAAGTCCTGAATTCGGGTGAAACGGTTACGGCGGACATTTACGAAGACCAATTGTACCGCGCAGATCAACACTGCGCCGCCAAGGTGTCGAAACGACGTGGACAAAATTCCTCCTCGACAACGCTCGTCCACATATTGCGAAAACCACCTTGGAAAAAAAATTGAGGAATAGGGGTGGGAATTCCTACCTCGTTCGCCTCACAGCCCAGACCTGACTCCATCCTATGATAATCTGTTCCGGTCACTGCAGCACTCGTTGGTCGAGAGAAATTTCAAAAACCTTGAAAAAGTCCAACTCAGGGTGTCCAACTACTTTGAGTCGCAGCCGGCCGAGTTCTGCAGGAAAAGAATCCATTCTTTGCGGAAACGTAGGTAACAAGTCATTGATAGTAATGGAGGATATCTTTTGAATTGATTTAGTTTCGTTTATGTAATAAAAATTTTTTTGAACTTAAACGCGCATTCCTTTCCGAACAACCTAATAATTTGCGATCGGTTCGATCCCGTCACATCCCACATGTCACATGTCATCCTACCTCCTACCATCAGTGCTCCCATCATGCTAAATGTATTCCTACCAAATTCGAACGCTCTAGGTCCACGGGAGCANCCTTCACGGAGTTCTTTTTCACTGAAGGACCCCCAGCCGGTTAGTGACGAGGCTACGTAGGGCGTCCCCAGGTGGCGGATAGGGGAATTAATCATCGACCAAAAGTCACCGGTACTTGCCCAGAAACGCAGGTGGAAGGGGATGGACTCCTTGATTTTGCTGTGCTGGTCGATATACTTTCTGTTCCTCGCAGGCGTATCCACGCATACGTGTGTGGTGAGTCTGTGGGTGCAGTTGGTATCCTGTCCATCAATTCAGCCAAAAGCTTGCATTCGAGTGGCTGGGAAGTATCTGGGAGGCGATTCGGGGCCGCCTCCGAAAATAAAGCTCCTCGTCCAACCCCCCACGTCAGAGCCTGGCAAGCTACACGATGGGTTTTTCACACGTCAAAAACAGTATTAAAAATGGGCCTCATTCACCCCCCCTCCCCCAGTACGGCACGTTGGGTAAGACCGCTTGGGAGAGGCTGCTAAAATCTTAGGGTCAAAACAGACTGGAGAAGAACTGTTTCTTGGAACATGCGACAGTAGAGGCGTCGGCGGCGTAGGTGTCCTCGTCAATACGCACTTGGCCATGAACATCGATTCGTAAGAAACCCTAGCAACCCGAATCGAACGTTTACGATTAAGAAGATGGCCGGTCGGGCGGCCGGCGTGCCAGCCGAGGCAGTGCTAGGGGGGAGGAGGGAGGCAGACGGTCGGTCGAAGTTCTGAAAACAAAGGAGAACAAGATCAAAAACCATACAACCAAGGGCTTGTACAAATGGTCTTTGATCTTGTCTCTCGTTGTTTACAGCCCTTCGAAGGGGCTTACCGACTGTCTGCTTCCCTCCTCCCCCCCCCCCCCCCCCCCCCCCCCCCCCCGCCCNGCACTGCCTCGGCTGGCACGCCGACCGATCGACCGGCGGACTATGAAAGCAGCCATGTTAGATGAAGGACAGCCATGCGAGCAAGCAGGGTTTCGGAGAGAGTTCAGCACAATCGATCATATCCACACTCTTACAAGACTCACTGAAGTATCGCGAGAGTACAAAATGCCGTTATGTCTTACGTTCATCGATCTCAAGAAAGCCTTTGACACCGTCGAGACAGAAGCGGTAATCGAAGCCCAGGCAACCAATACTATACTCAATATATAAAGATGCTTCGTGAGCTCTATGACAATTTTACGACCAGGATTTCACCATTCTATAAGGAAGTCATTGTCAACGTGAAGAGAGGTGTCCGGCAAGGCGATACTATTTCGCGCAAACTTTTCAGTGCCGCCCCCGAGAATATCATGCGACATTTGGAATGGGAAGACTTGATAGTGAAGGTCGACGGTCGCTTTCTACATCACCTCCGCTTTGCAGACGACATCGTGCTTATAACACCGAACATCGAGCAGGCGGAACGAATGCTGGCCGACTTTGATAGTGCTTGTGGAAAGATCGGCTTGAGGCTGAACCTAACGAAGACGATGTTCATGCGAAACGGGTTGCTACGTGATGTTCCTTCCACGCTGAACGGAAGGATATCTCCGAATGCTCTAGCTATGTGTATCTAAGTCGGGAAGTCAACATGATGAACCACCTAGCTCCAGAGCTGTGCAGAAGGAAACGCGCCGCATGGGGAGCATTTAAGAATATTGAGGGAGTAGTGAAGAAGACAAAGAACATTCGGCTTCGCGCGCACATTCCCGACACTGTTGTCCTCGGAGACTTGGACTCTACGAGAGCAGGATGCGCATACTGTCAGCGTTATTCAACGCGCTTTGGAAAGGACGATGCTCGGAATTTCCCTGTACACGCAAGTGCAGAAGGGAATCCGGAGTTCCGAGCTACGTCAACGAACGAAGATCAGGGATTCCGTTGATTACGCCAAGAAATCGAAGATCAGGTGGGCCGCACACGGTATGCGATATAGTGATGACTGTTGGATCAGGGCGATTATTGACTTTATTCCTTGGAAGATCAAACGAACTCCAGGGCGGCTGCCAAAGGGATGGTCAGACTCCTTCACGAAAGCTCTGAACGAAAGGAATGTTGATCCTCGTGTGCCTGGAGCGATTCATTGGACCACTCTGGCTTGCGACAGGGACGAATGGAGACGTTACTGACGCCCGTTCGAGGAATTCGACGATCAGCGGGACGATAGGTGATACAGGTGAAAGATATAACGCGTGAGTCTATATGTAACATGCTAAGAGTGTATGTATGTGTGTATGTATGTGAGTGCGTGTGGGTGTTTGACCGGAAATTCATAAATCCGGTCCCGTGGACCTAGAGAGCTAAAATTTGGTAAGAGTGCAGGAGGCAATATGGGAACACTGATGGTAGGTGAAAGTTGTAGCGTCCACCCGCAAGAGGCATGGCTTGAGCGAAAATATTTAATTTGTACCAGCTGAACCTTCAATGGATTATTAGTTTCAAGATAAACAGCACCAGATAGAGACTTCTACATATAGGCTCAATCATCGGCACATACTAAATATCACTTGTATTCTCTGTCAGCCCTCCGTCAAGTTTTGTGTTCCGGAAAGTACCACTTGTTTCAAATAAGGAGGGGGCGGTTTGCCGATCATCGAAGCCCTATCACAAGAAGGGGGAAGCCTGGCGTTAGACGGGCGACCCGACAGGTTAAAGTGATAAGCTAGGAACTTTATGGTTTCCCAATCTGCCAAAGTTGCATTGCAGAGAAATCTTTGATGTCGAGCAGTGTAAAGATTCTAGTNAGTGAGAAAGTTTTGTGCAGCCCATCGCCCAGATTTTGATCTGCATGCACATGTCTTATGTTGTTTAACATAGTTTGAAATACACACGTCATGTATGGGTGAATTGCAGCTCTTACCAGTCAGATCGAACAGCTTAAATACCCTAATTCCTGTTAGGAATGCTCGATAGCTCTACATTTCTCTTTTCCGCATGAATGACCCATTTTCAACAAATTTTCTGAAGGGAGACGTCCCAATCATGTATGTTCTAAAAATCGAGGCGGGGAGCGTGCGCCTACTCCTCACTCTGAGCATTTCCCATCAGTGTCTTAATCGTAACAGTAATCACGCATTCGAAACCAAATTCTCTCTTCTGTAGCGTCTAGGGCGCATAAACTTTTCTACGATTGAGCACTTCGATTAGTTAAATCTTGAATGATGGGTGATTGTAATATGATAGCAATGGGTAGTTTAGATTTTGCTCTCTTTTTATTGTACTGAATGCAATCGGTCCCTATCACTGCACTCATCATTTTTTATTAACATACTCTACGTTCCGTCTCACTTTATGAAACACGACGAAGCGTCAAGATATATCGTGAACACTAGAGAATAAAAATTAGAAAGCATGTGCCCCCAAGGTCTTTCGTAAGCTTCTTATAGCTATTAACATTTCCTGTAATCACTTGCGATCCAGACACACCTACAACACGTACACCAACATTGCATGACTCCACCTTCTTAGCAGCCCGTGTCACCAGCCATCCACACCCAACTCCCAAATAGCTCTTCAAAGTTTGGAGTCCCCATCGTTGACCCGACTAGTGTACCGATGTAGCGGTTCCTGCACTCCTCAGCCCTGTTTGCATTGCATCGGCACTTCACTTTCACTCCTTTTCCAGCGATGAGGAAAACCCACATCCCACAATGCACATGCATTTCTGGCTACGAATCGCAAAGTCTTTAAAAAGTGTCTTCGAAGTTGTTTCCCTTCCACCGTGGTGGCTCGGGCTGAAATCTGTGCCTTTGAGAAGAAAGTTCATTCATCAGTCTGACGCCGCCGGCGTTTGCTGGACGGGGACTGTGAACCCTGCAGTGCTCTGTTTTCTTGATCGTTTTCAAGCCCCCCACTCCACATTTAAAGGCACTGTTTACGAAAAAGTGGTTTCGGAGATTTGCACATGGTTTGAATTCGAAGCCCCCTCTGAAACCATTTGTGCAGGAATGAGGTCGGAAAACGGCTGGATAGGGCACAATAAGGGGCCGGAGAGGTAACCACGGTCGCCCTCCGCCCCTTGATCGGTGTCACGTTAGACGAGTGTCGAGACGACACAGTGTCATGTAATCGCGCCAGGACCCACCCTGAATTGCAAATTGGCAAATTGCCAGGGACGCAATGTGTTGCATGCTATTGCAGACAACACATTGCGTCTCTGGCAAGTTGCCAATTTGCCGTCCCTGGCAATTTGCCAACTTGCCCGAAAACTCTCTAACCGACGTTCTTTCACTGTGAAACTCGTCCAACCCCCTTTCCAGCTCTTTTTTGGCCCTTTTTAATTCCTTTCGTTCGTCGTTTTTTGC